CGATTCAATAGCCTGTTTGGTTTTCCTTTTCGTATCAGAATAAGACTGCCACTTCACAGGCACTGATGATGTCACCTCGGCTGGTGATGAAACTTTTGCAAACAAATTGCCAAACTCGGCGAGTCGGCGAAATAGAATTCAGTTCACTTGAGCTACGAGAATACTTTGTCAACAGTTTTCGGACCACACTTTATGAGCCAAATTTTCCTTACGCCTGGCAAACAACCGCAAAATGGGCACCGACAACGGATACTCACGCTACAATGCCAGCGGTTGTTACAAATCGACCTTCGAAGCGGAACTCTCCGGGCGCCTGTCAGTTTTACCACCAGTCGAATGGCTCAACGAACACTGGAAGCAAATCATGGAAGTTATGCAAATGTCGATAAAAACGATGTCGGACCCTGGCGCAGGCTGAAAACACAAACGATGGGTCTCGCCTGCCCTACTGGAGGCCCGCAGAACCCTTCTTCCTGATGCCATATGATAGCGCGCAAACCCCTCAAACGCCAGCTCATCAAGAGTCTGAGGGATTGGTAATTAGGAATACGGAACCCAGGCAAATAGGTGTGAGGTAATTAAGGAGTCCGATGGCACAGTGATTCACCATCAGCAACGTCGTCTTGATCGATGGGTTAAACATTTCGAGGCTCAATTCAACGGGCCCCCGTCGGCATCTGAACTATCACCCTCCACCTCAACTTGGCAAATACTCCCAGTTGGTGCCAGTCCTCCATCTAGAATGGAGGCTCCCCGGGAAATATGTCATCTCTAAAGGCATAAGGCTTTCTTTCCAGATGGGTTGTTCCCATCGGCGTCTAAAGAGGGAGTTTCAGCCTTGGTTTTCGATTTAACGAAACTCCTGGGATCAGTGTGGGAGTGGGAACATGTTCCAACTGAATGGTGTGAATCTGTCATCATACCGATTTACAAGGTGACAGGTCCTCCTGTGAAAACCACAGAGGAATTAGTTTAATCCACATTGCCTCTAAACTTCTCGCTGGAATCATACTGTCGATTGTCTGCCGCACTCGTGAGAATCAAGCTGGTTTTAGACCTGGTCGAGGTTGTATGGACCATATTCTCACCCTCCGCAAAATTGTGGAGCACCGACATTCTTTTCGTAGACCCATCCTCCCTGGCTTACTGAATCTGAGTGGCTTTCGACTTAGTCGACCGCTCTAAACTCTAGCGCTGCCCTTCCCTGAAGGGTGTGGCCAAGAAGTTTGTTTTCATATTACGATCTCTTTGCATTGCCAGCCGAAGTCGAGTCTGAGCTTACGGCACTTTTTCGCTCCATTTCACCAAGGAAAGCGGTGTTCGACAGGGTTGCCCTCTCTCTCCTTTTCTATCCAACTTTGTTATGGATTTGATTATGGAAGCAGCCCTATCCTCGTGCGAGGATAGTGGCTTCGATCTGCTCCTAGATGACAGACTGTCTGATTTGGAGTATACAGACGACATTATGCTGTTGAGTGAACATCCAGGTAAGTTACAAGGTTTTATGAATAGTTTGAGTGCTAGTGTAGCCATATTCGGTATGCGTTTTGCACCTTCAAAGTGTAAAATGGTTTTCCAAGATTGGGTTGGCCTAGTCCCCCAACCTCATCCTGACCGGGGAAGTTGTGGAGAAAGTAGTCAAATTTTGCTATTTGGCCAGCTATATATAACCTGCAGGACGCATCACGGATGAAGTGTCAGCTCGCATGCATGCTCGGTTGGCATTTGCCAACTTGAGACATATGTGGCACCGTCGCGACATCCAACTGTCCCTGAAGGGTTGAGTGTACGCTGCGGCAGTTCGACCAGTTCAGCTATACGGCGCAGAAACTTGGTTATTAAGAAAACATGATATTACATCTCATTTTTACTTACTTTCATTGAGTATACAAAGATACAAATTTCAGGAAGGAGGGAGCGGCCAATCAAAGGGCTGCCAAACAAAACAATGGAGACAGGCGGTGGTGGTGGGATTCGAACATATCCTCCGAAGTGATAATTGGTGACGTTACCACCGGGCCACCAAAGCTCCAAAAGATAGACTGTCAGTGTTTGAACATCGCTGTCTACGCAGCACTGCACGAATCTGGTGGGGCAGCCGGGCGAGCAATGCTGTCAGACGGATAGTTTTAGGTAAATGCAGTCACTCACTGGAGCAAGTGGTCGACCTCCATAGATTACGTTGTTTGGAGCATGTGTTACGCATGTCAGCAAATAGTTTGCCACGGCGAGCGATGTCTGCCGAGGCAGGTAGTGGATGGAATAAAGCCAAGGGTGGTCAAGCTAAAACCTGGCAAGAAAGTATGTAAAGCCTAACCAGGAGACTGGGTCATTTCGGTCCCGTTAGGTCACTGTCTGGGAACCTCGGGATGATCGTACCCGATGGTTAGAGACACTGATTGATATGGCTGATTGTCGTAAACAGTGATGTTCGTCTCAATTTCTTTGCGACATTAGTCCACTAAAATTCTCCGTTTTCTGCTCGACTCTTTTTTCAACTTTCCTGTCTTTCTCGTGGTGGTCATCCAAACGGGCAACCGAAAGACAGCAACCAAAACCGACGCACGGAATTGCATGGTTAATGTCTGTTCAAACTGAAACTGAAACCCAATCACCCTGTGCATTTCTTCATGTTTCGTCTGGAAGTTATCTGCTGGCCTCCATATGGCTTTCTCCAGTCTGCAGCGGCGAACGCAAATAAGGCACGGTGCGGTAGGCGACCTTTAGACATACGCAAAACGTGTCCTAACCATTGGAGCTTATTGAGTTAATTTCGATGCGAAACCGGATCAAGCTATGGTCAAACCCCAGGAAGACGGAAGCAAATAATTCACGAATTGCTATATTCACTAATTAAGTAGACTGTTGAAAAATGGATACGCGATTTAGGCAGCTAATGTGAATATATCGCCTCACTACTATTGTCAATGGTGCGCTGACAGATACTCGGAGTAGCGAGCACAGCAAACATGTTCTCTTTGTCATACACATGAGGAACAATGTCAATCATAATGCTGGTCGCCTTTGATACCTAGGTCCATATCAATCCTCCATCGAAAACTGAGGTCTTCCGGGAATAAGTTACCTCAAAAAGTACAAGGGAAAGGCAACAGGGTCCAAATGAGTGGTGAGTCGGTCGTCTTACCGATTTGCTAGAAAGGTAACCTGTCATCTTGTGATAAGCACAGCGGAATCGGTCTGATCAACATTGTCTAAACTTCTTGCTAGCTTCATACCCCGTCGATTGTCTGCCGTACGTGAACGGTGCATGCGTGAGATTTAGGCTGGTTTCATACCCGATCGAGGCTGTATCGACCATATTTACACTCCTCGCTAAATTCTAAAACACGGACATTCTTTCTGTAGACCTATCATTTCTATCTTCCACGATCTGAAATCTAATTTCAATTCAGTCGATCGCTCTCAACTCCTGTGCTGCCTTTCTCGTTTACTTTAATACTGCGATCGTTCTCAGCTTATAACGGAAGCCGAGTTCGAACTTACGACATTTTTTCGCCCAAGTTCATAGTGGAAAGCGTTTGTCTCTCTCCTTTTCAATTTAACTTCGTTATTGATTTGATTATGGAAACAACTCTGGAGGAGGATGTAATATCTGTGAAGTGTCTTCGGAATTTGGCACATGATGATCGGTGACCAATGTGGTTCATACATCATGTAGACTGTCATACTCAGGGGATCATGAATCCCAAAGAGAGACNNNACGGACGGTAGCAGGCTCATAAGCCGTTGACCGCGCTGCAGATTTTTCATTCTCATGGACTTAAGCTGATGACAAGGCATTTATAGGTTTTTCTGTTAAACTCTTATCTCTTGTGTAAGGGGGTCCATGACTTTATTTTTGAAAGGTCAGTCATATCGGTCTTTGTCACGGAAGCGTCATTTGGCTTTTTCGTATAGGCAAGGACCAGTCTCGCACCCCTACTCTCTGGTAGTGCCAACGCTTTTTGTTCAATGCTGCTTATTTGTCACAGCCGACCACAACTCGGAGCTGCGTCTGGCAGTGTATAACTATGCGTATCTCCTGAGTGCTGTGGTACCCTAGAGCTTCAGTATTCCGTACACTTTTCTGATGGGGATCACAGCATTCGCCGAATAATCGCGTGGAGACATGCGGTGCGTTCATATCGCGAATCGTGTCACCAACGTTTTATCATTATCATTTTCCTTTTATTGAGCTTTTCGAGGTGTTCCACACTTTTTTATTCTGTTCGTTCTCCACATAGAATATTAGAATACTGTTGGTTGGAGTCAATGAAGAATATTTTTGCAATATTACCGCCTATCTGCGTCTGCCGGATTAACTCGAGATCCCTCTGCACCATATGTTCAACTGTGATGCCCGCGATGCGTACCTTGTATGACTATTGAGATCATGGCCACACATAGAAATACTCCACTCCTTTTTTTGTTAGAGTAAGCATATGTACCATCAACCTTCATGAAAGGGGCTGTCTGAGGAAATATAGAAACTGGGGTCCTACTCAGGACCACCTAGTCGCTACTTTGATGGCCTTAACCGCTCGATCGTTGTAGTCTAAAATGCTGTTTATTCTATGTTATCCTTTTTTGTTGTCTATCTTGAAGAGTATATTACCGACCAAAGACCCGCACCGCTTGTTTGTGACAATTTATTTATTTTCGTTATGTCCTCTTTCTGAACATATTTTCGAAAAGTTTCAATATGTTCTGATAGTTATCAATGGGACCTGGTCACACATCCATTTAGATTTTCCTAATTTTTTCTAAATTCTCGCTTATCCTAATTCTTTCAAACTGTCTTGTATTTTTGCAGTCCTAACGAACTCGTTCAAAGCCTCCTGTTGAGGGTAGCTTTGATTCTGGTTGCTGAATCCAATTCCTCTGGGTCATCTACTTCAAGTCTACCAGTATCTGCACTTAGTCTGCGCCAAAGACTTTTAAAGGCTTTGCCCAAATTAGCTGCTTTAGGTGGCTTAGATTACGCTGATTTCGCCAGTCGAATGTTACTCCACCGCCTTCATCTTCCGACACATATTCTGACGTTGAATGATCCCGTTGCGGTGGATGTGGATTTGTCGGACCAAAGCGTTTTGTTAGATACTAGCATCGGCCAAGGTCGTCCCAACCTGGGCGACATTACTTTGAACTCCACCTTAGTCCAGAACATTTCTCCTCGTCCTTCGAACTCATCTCCGTCAATTGAAGGAAATCATCCTACTGAGGATGATTTCGTAATCTCTGAATTAATACTGCGAGACGCAACCGTGCGGCGCATTTTGTTACCGAATCTGTGTACCTTCATATTCACTGGAGATCCGAATTGGTGTGCTGTCCAATGTGTTCTGCGCACGCAATTGGGCTTCCTCCTGTGGCCACAACTGTCTTTAGCAGATCTGTATGCTTCGTTGCTGCGTTTAAACTTCCTAGCCGAATGCAAGAACTCCACACATCAGCGATTGATCATGGACTGTTCGCAGACTCAAGCTTCGTCAGATGGTGGAACTTTCACAGCTATTTCCATGTCGCGTCTTCCCGCCTGTCTGCAGCAGTTAGTATCCTTAGACAACGATCTACAAACGTGTGAGCTTAGCTGGCAACTCATCATTGACTTCCAACTTATAGAGAGCATCGACAACAAGTTATTCGCCATGATTCACAAAAACATGACTAAACATACCACCGCTTATCTGGTACGTGTAACCGAACAGCTACTGTGCACAGATGCCTTGTGGAAATGTGTCAGCCGATCAGCTTCCGGGTCGGTAACCTGTGGTGTCTGGAACCCCGAACGTTTCGTTTCTGATTTACTTCATCGATTACTTACTGGTGCTACTTGTTTAACAGCTGGCCCTCCTGGGCAGTTATTTAGTCGGATCTTGTCAGTTCTTATCAACTGGCCCTTGCCTGATCCAGTATTTGAACGCGCAGTCGTCCACTGGGTGCCCCTCATTATTGCTGCGATCCGTCAGACTCCACAAAACCGTTCACCGGATAGTATTGTGTTTCGCATCTGGCTTGTGGTTCAAATACTCCGATTGCTTTCCACTTGCTGCTCGACAGAACTTGCCACGAGCACACTTTCTGAGTGTTTTCACCAGGTAAGTATTTTTCACTTTGCTAAGCTTACTTGTTTTTTATTGTATCACGGGCGATCACAAATGAAGATCTTCCGAAGACAACGAATGTCGTAACCGTCTTTGTTGTATCGGACCTCTAGGTTATCTCTGGATCTAGTGTTTTCTGGTGGTCAAGTCAAATTGTGTATAGGTCTAATCTGACCAGCGGATACTGAGTAACTGCCTAGTATTATATAAAATATGCAATATCGTTTTATGTGCATAAATAATGTATCTTCCTTCTTTAGTTTATGAATTATTACTTTTGTTGATCTGTTCTGTCTTATTCCAATGTTTTCTCCCTTCACTAATTCACTCTGTCGCATCGCACAAAATAATCCACTCGTTCCTTGTTTCAGATGTCAAACCATTTTCCTTACGAGAACCTGACCTCTCAAGCGGTGAATGCGAGTGCATTCCAATTCACACCCTTCGGTTTGAATGACTCACCTTAAGGGGGGACATCTCTTCAATTGCATCACTCCGAGCGCAAAACACGATCAAGCTTTGTAATGTACCCACAATTGTTGTTCACTATTGAGGTTTATTTTCTCTTTTGCGGAAGAATACAAACGTTTATCATGTGTTGTCGTTCTTATATGCTTTGGTTATCTTGGTTACTGAAGGTCGTTAATTTACCATTTCCGTTTCTTGCCGGGACACTGTAACACACTATCCACGGGGCTTTGATGGGCTGATTTTTATTAGCAGTTGTAGATAGATAGATAGATAAAGATAGATAGTACTCTATATAGCTCTGTTGAACGTTTCACGACTCAGTACGCAGTACACTTACGCGGTGCAGATGACCGGGCAAGGAAAATGTAAACTGTAGTCTATTGTAAATAGTCTCCAGTGATTGCAACTCAGAACCAAATATCAACAGCCGAGCACAGTCCACAAGTCATAGAGGTCATTGTACTAAGACCGTAAGGATGAGACTCGGTCGATGTCACTGGAGAGCAATGGTTTTCTACGACTACAAATGTGGTTTAAAACAGCAGTAGGTTGCTGATCGTTTGTGAGCTGCCCTTGATGATGACGCTCCTTCAAGAAGCATTGTGTTTGAGTGGTTCGCGAAATTCAAGCGTGACAGGCGGTCCCTGAATGATGAAAAACGGTGGTTAACCTGTGGAGGCCACCACAGCGAACAACGTTGCTGCTGTGCAAGCGATTGTGCAGGAGGATGCGCGGATGACAGTGACCCAGCTGGCGAGAGCCATCGGGGTCAATCCGCACCATCCTACGTCAGAAGCACGACTTCAAAAATGTTTGCGTATGCTGGGTACTCCATCATCTCAGTGAGGAACAGAAAGAAGGTAAATTGGTGCCAGGTTTGATGGTGGACGTTCCAATGCAGTTTGGGAGATCATCAATGATGATGAGATCTGGGTATACAGTTTCCACCCAGAGACGAAGCAACAGTCGCCTCAGTGGGCGCCGGTTGGTGGGGTGCCTCCTCGGAAATTCCGACTCGAGCACAATGTAGCCAACCAGATGGTAGCAAAGCAGTCACTGGAAACTGGGACGCCACCAACTTTCTGCCCTAAAGGGCTGAAAGTTGTTGTCATGCGTCGTCCAAGGACTCCGACACGAGAGACCTTGTACCATAACAAAGCACCTGCACACGGGTCCCACGTCATCGGCGATTTTCTAGCTAGAGAACTCGTCCAGGATGTTGGTCACCCACCCTTCAGTCCAAACCTAGATCCGTCACTTTTTTGCGTTCCCAAATGTCAGGCGCGTGATGCGTGAAATCCGATACGAGTCACCAATAGCTACAGTGCCTCCGAAATCCTC